AAAATAAATAATATAACTAATAGACTATTTATTAAATTTAGGCCTATATATACATATAAAAAAGTGTAATAAGCTACGGACCCACATGATTGTACAACAATTTTTTTGCTTAGAGTATAATAGTAAAAAGAGAATATTACAAACAAATTATACTGCCCTTTGCATAATACTCAATATTGAAGCCGTGTGCAATGCTAATGACACCTTAAAAAACGAGGACCATCAGGCAGGTACGTGAAGTTCAATCGGTAGTGATGGTTACAACACTTTATTTATTTATTTATTTTTTTGCATAGAGTATAATAGGAAAAAGAGAAGATTACAAACAAATTATACTGTCCTTTGCATAATACTCAATATTGATGCTGTGTACAATGCTAATGGCACCTTAAAAAACGAGGACCATCAGGCAGGGACGTGGAGGTCAATCGGTAGTGATGGTTATGGTCTTGCCCAGCACAAAAAGAAACAGAGACATCTCTATGAAAACGATGGTGATGCTGAGTGTCCGATCAATTCTCCATCCGTATACTGTCAACCCACCAGGGTTAGACAGCACGTACATAACTGCAATGCCAAGACAAGAAACGGACCAGAATTAGTCAAAAATAGTCTTTATTATGAACATTAATAGAGATGATTTGCAAAAGAACATTCTATGTAATTTAACGTCATTCTTACATTGAAAATAACTTCCATTTTTTGCTAATATTTTGTTAATTTCTTAAGTACTTACTATTCATGCCAACGACCTAACTGAATAAGTGGTGATCAGCTCCAACGGAAGTAAGAGGTTATGCATTCAAGTTGTATGGCTTGGTAAAGGGATGAAGGAGGTTTGCCTCCCACAACCCATATTTAAAAAAGTACTTACTATTCTCTTTGTTTTGGGAAAAGGGACTATTGCTTGAGCTGTGTTTGAGAGATTAATCAGGTAATGCAAAGAAAGGCAACTGAAACTATCTAGTCAAGTGCAATGCAGAATAAGACACGGCTAATGGAGATTAATGGCTTCTGGATGCTTGTGCAAGAGACTCAAATGGTGCATCCAAAATGGAGAAATAATGAGGCAGGAAACTGAACTCCAGTCTCAGTCAAAGATGTTCTTTCAGCTATCTATCAGATTATGACATAACAAGGGGGGCATTCTGTTTAAGAAGATCTCTGCTAAAAGGGTTGAGTCATTAACGCAGGTAACACATATCTGAAAACTCAAAATAATCATAAGAACTCTCTCCAGCGCCTGGATTGGATGGTTAGACATGTACAGATCATATATAGTTCCATAATTTTCCTATTACTCTCACAAGCTGCCAGTATTTCTTGATTTTAAACTTAACATGCTGCACTCCACTCATGCAACTAAGCAAAAAGTAAAAAGAAAAAGAAAAAGAAAAAGAAAAAAGGGAAGGTGGAAGATGTTCCTCAACCAAGGAGCTAATTTAGCTCTTATGTGGTTCTGTAAATCAGATAGTAAAAAATTTCTGAAAACAGCATTCATGATCTATAGTAAGATAATTTGTTTTAAAGCTAAACTTTGATGGATTCTGCACCTTCTGCTCTATAACAAAGACACCTGCAAGAGCTAGAAACTGAGCCTGCCTCTCCCTTTTTCATTTGATCCTTTTCCATTACCACCCCCTTTATGCAATACAGAGTACCTTGGAGGAAGTTTTTTTTCTTTTTTTTCTTTTTCTGATAAGTTGGATGAAGTATTTAATGTTATTTGCAATTTTGATATACCTGTAGTATCTTTTAGTATTTAAACTATTGTGTTTAGTTGATTCAGGTTATTTATTAGTTTCATATTTCCATCAGAAGCTTTAATTAGTGATTTATTTCTTCTTTATTAAAATTCCATTAGGGTTTAGTATAGACCACACAAACATTTGTATGCTGTTTTACTCTTTGTTCTGTTGTGTGATGATTTGATTATCAATGAATACTTGAAATTCTCATATAATTTTTTTCATTCTTTACCATAATCCCTTTGGTTATGGTCCTTTTCTTTTGATTTCCCTCCCTCCTTCCCCTACCTTTCTCCCTTTTCCTTTTCCTATTTCCCGTCTCCTTATTTCTCACCTCCTTCTCCATCTGTTATGCATCACCCCCCCTTGAACAACATGAAAAACAATATTTGAAACCCACAATGTCTTAACTAAATAGAAAATGTAAAGTAGGTAGGACTGAGCTGGTGTTGATCTACACAAGCATGCACATACCTTAATGTATGAGTTGCATGAACAGGGCAAGACAGAGTCAAAGGTAGGTTCAAGTAAGACTCTAGTCAATCCAAGAATAACAAAGATGACATACTCCCAAGTGAATGTTAAGCCAAAAGAAGAATTAATTATCAAGAGAAAGTGACATACTTGCAAAGAAACTAAGTAATTGGCAATATAAAGAAACTAAGTAATTGGCAATATAAAGAAACTAAGTAATTGGCAATATAAAGAAACTAAGTAATTGGCAATATACCAACCAAATGCTTGCCGCTTTTGATAGAAAGACATGTATGAAGCCAGTTGATTAGCCGTTGGAACTGGCACAAAATCACCAATTTCCAAATCACTTTCAGAGTAAGTTATTCGTAATGAGCCCATCTGATTGATAGTTTCACCACTGTCATTCACCCCTTGTTGAGAAGTGTCCATAGAGCTACACGTAACCAAAGCATGCCATCTGCTAGCGACAGATCCAAGTGCTTGAGCTCTATGTGAGATTTTTGCAGCTGCATGCAAGAATAGTATTGTGCCAACAAGCTCAATAACAGAGATGACCTGCCATATCATAATCAAGGAACAAAAGATGAAAAATAGAAGTTGATTGTATTTAAATGAAATTTTCTAGAAAAATGGAAGGAGAGAGAAAAAAAAAAAAGAAAAAAAAAAGCATTGACACAGCATATAAAAGTTCCTCAAACTTATTCTTTGTCAATCATTTATCCAAGTTTTGCATAGCTACAGATCATAAACCTTATGCATGAAGAAAATAAAAATTAAGACAGAGATAAGAGTTTGGCTCTGCACTCACTGCAAAACCACCACCATTAATGAAATTGATGATTCCGCTATTTCTTGTGGTTTCCAACAGGGACACAAACTGCGTAGCTGTTGCCAGCAAGAATTCTAGAACTAGATATACTCGAAACCTGTGGCTTATCTTTGATAAGTAATGTGTAAGACATATGTGTTCATCAATATAAGCTGAGACATCTAAATCCCTTTCCAAAAGCTTCCCATAATTCTCAAAGTGTATCACTTGGAAATTGCACACTAAATTGAACAATGCACAACCAGATAAATAGATTGTGGTTGAATAAGTCCATGACACAAGCAAAGCTATCAATACTAAAACCATTTGCCACCAAGAATCATAATCAGCATATACAACACGAGTGACCTCACGAGCAGCCTTTATAATGAAGCATGGAACTAGCCATACAGCCAATAAGCGGAAGAAATCCTGCATAAATAAATAAATAAAATAGATAAGCAAAGACAAACTAAACTCACAATAGACAGATAATCTCGTACAGTCAACTCATCTACATAAACTTCCATACAAGCTCAAGAAGAAACTTGAATGCCTTGATTTTATATAGAGTCGAAACTTCTGAAAAGTGCAACTAGAAGTTGGTGGAGTTTTTTGAATTTTGTTTTCCCAATTTTCTCATTAAGGTAAGTCATCTTTCATATCCATAACCCTTTTCTTTTTCTGGATGAACTCAGATATACATACCCATTATTGTGCCACTATATACAGATTACCATCTTCCATAGAAAATATCAGATAGCATTTAGCACATCAATTGAGGGTTCAAGAACAATTATCAAAGAGAATCAAAGATATCATAGAATGATTTGAAGAAAGGATAGAGAAAAAAAAAAAAAAAAGTCAAGGGTAATTGCTTACATTGATTTTCTTCACATAATCTTTACGAAACTGTGCCCCATGACCATGGTACTTATCCACAAACAGAAACTTCCTCAATCGATACTTGCGCAGATTGTGAGAAATGCAGAGAAGAGAAATAGCAGCAACAAGAGACTGAGATGCGAGAATTTCAAGATCAAAACTTTTGATCTCGTACTTCTGGCAGGCGGAGCAGTAAGTGAGCTGGATTATGAGTAGTGGAAGAGTAACACCCAGAAGCAGAAACAAGAGCCAAGACAAAGAGAAAGTGAAGATGGAATGCTGGTAAAAGCCAAGGAACCCGAGAAAGGTCTCTAAACGGCTGAGGGATTTGGACAACTGGTAATCGTTTGGGTCTTCCTGGTGTTGTTGGGGTTGTTCCATAAGGAGGGTATGGGACATTTCAGCATTTTGTTCTTGTGTCTGGGAGACTGCCATTGAGAGGAAAGGGGAGTGTGAATTGGGTTGTGTTTTGCCCGCCTGCAACGTAGTTGGGAACGGTATTTTCAGAAGAAGAGACAGAAAGGTGGGCTAAAACCAACATTGAGCCCCTCACCTTACAAAATTGATAAGTTTTAACCCCTAATCTTATAATATGACACTTTTAGCTCTTTACCTTACAAAGTTGATAAGTTTTAACCCTTCACCTTATACTATGACACTTTCAACCCCTTATTTATACGAATTGAAGAAAATAGCCCTCATTTGACATCAAATTATAATGTTCTGTCAATTCTCTTAGTTGACTATCAATTCTATTAGTTAACAATCAGTTTTGTTAACTGACTGTTAGTATACATTAGCATTCCGTTAATGAAATTAACAAATAAAATTGAATTTAAATTTCATGTTTTTTATAACGGAATGCTAACAGATGTTAACAGTCGATTAATTGAACTAACATAATATTATAACCTGATGTTAGATGAGGGTTATTTTCTTCAATTCGTATAAGTGAGGGGTTAAAAATGCTATAATATAGGGTGAATGGTTAAAATCTACAAACTTTGTAAGGTGAAGGGTTAAAACCTACCAACTTTGTAAGGTAAGACTAAAAGCTACCAACTTTGTAAGGTAAAGGATTAAAAATATCCTATTATAAAGTGAGAGGATAAAATCTACTAATTTTGTAAGGTAAAGAGCTAAATGTTGATTTTTACCCAAAAAGATGACAAAATGAGAAAATGGGAACAATGAAAGGAAAATGCACCATGAGGAAAAAGGAAGGTTAAATACCCAGTTTAGTCCCTCAACTTTCATTTTTAACCAAATCTACCCTAAACTTCAAAAAGTACTAAAACTATCCCTAAACTTCAATTTTCAAAACCAATCTGATCCTTCCGTTGACAGAAGTGCCAAATGGCACGTTAAATTGTTACAAAATCAATTTGTATTTTAAATCTTTAATTATGTGGAAAATAACTTAACCAACCATGGCATTTTTGTTGTCTTCATCATTTTAATTAATTTATGTATTAAAAAATTAAATTTCCTTAAATACCCCATCTTCATCTTCCAACCCTTCTTTTTCTCTTTTCTCGTCTCTCTCTATCCTTAAATACCTCTTCATCTTACAACCCACTCAGCACCAATCATCCCTCATTACTCCAGTCATCCCTTACCACTCCAATCACCATCTCCATACATCACTCCGATCATCAACTCTAGCTTTAGAAATATGCTTAACCTAGAAACCCAGAAACCAAAAAGAAATATAAGCCAACTTCTTACCTCTATTTCTACTTGTTGCCTTTTCGTTTCTCCTTCTCTTCAATTTTCGATCTCTACCTCCCTCTTTGTCTCCTTTCTTCTCTGTTAGTGGTGATTTCAACTCCTGATCAACACATGATCACTAGAAGGAAAATGGAACCCGAATCACCAAACCTCATCTTCTTCCCCAAACCTCCTTTCTAATGGAACCCAAATCTGGTTCCTCGCACAATAATAATGGCCAATAGACTAATTCAAAAAATCAATTACACTACAAACTTATACCAAATCTGTAAAGATTCAAAAATTTAATCATACTGCAAACTTATATCAGATCTGTAAAAAAAAAAAAAAAGAAGCAAAAAACACAACATCCCTTCAATCAACACCAACAGTACCTAGATCTTGAAATTCAAGCAAGTAGCCACCTAAAACTCTAAATCCCATACCAAGATAGCCAAGCATGACTACAACCAACAAAGAAACAGATAAGAAGAAGAAGAAGCAATGAGAAAAAATCATGGGATTTAAGAAGAAGCAATGAGAAAAAATCATGGGATTTATTTCAAAAATACCGAGAAAAGGAGGGAAAATACTCGAATCGAGTTTTCTTGTTGGGTTTTCAACAGAAAAGGGAAAAACAAAAAGGATGAGAAGGAGAAGGGAGGGAAAAAACCTAGGCGTGCTGGGTTTGAAGGTACCCAATGCTTGGGTTCCAAAGAACCGACACTTGGCTTCCTTCAAATCCAGTAA